GACGCTGCGGGTCGGGTTAGGCTTATCCAAAAACCTGCTAGGCTTTTTCATTCCTTTTCTGATCATATTAACAAGCTACACCTTAATTTGGAAGACCCTGAAGAAAGCATATCAAATTCAAAAAAATAAGACAAGAAATGATGATATTTTTAAGATGATTGTGGCAATAGTATTTTTCTTCTTCTTTTCCTGGATTCCTCATCAAGTGTTCACTTTTCTGGATGTGTTAATCCAATTACATGTAATAACAGACTGCAAAATCACTGATATTGTGGATACAGCTATGCCCTTCACCATTTGCATTGCTTACTTTAACAACTGTTTGAACCCTTTTTTTTATGTTTTTTTTGGAAAAAACTTTAAAAAATACTTTCTTCAGCTAATAAAATACATTCCACCAAATGTCAGCACACATCCAAGCCTAACAACAAAAATGAGTGCCCTTTCATATCGGCCACCAGAAAACATACGCATGCCCACTAAAAAGACTGCTGGGTCTTTTGACACTGAATGATGTTTTACAATATATTGTTTTTTAACAACCTTGTGAATGAAGCAGCAAGAATGACAAAACTCATCTACAGTCCTGGACATCACAGCTTACTGCTCATAACAGAAACATTAGATCACCTCAGAGAAATCATACTGTAAAGATTTAGCAGTGGCCTTTAATTTTATGTGGTGAAGAGGACTGCATGGTTTCCATTTTGTGTCTCTTTACTGAAAGCAACATAAATGGTGGACAGGCATGTCAGACTTCCTGTCGGCATCCTGCCCTTTACTCAAAACTACAAATGAAGGGTAGAGAAAACTGAAGTTAGAAGTTCAGAGAACTTTTTAAAGGAAAAACTTGTATAAGTGACAGTAATTAAGAGGGATCTGTTTTGCACATACATGAGCTACTATAAATTTTGTTCAAGGACTCGATGCAGTTACACTTCTTGTTTCATTGGGTTTAATGACATAAGTGTCATATAATAATATTTACAATATATTTTCAAATATTTGCTATATGTAGAGGCTCAATTTTAAATTCAAATGGAATTTAAGGTCCTTGAAAAGATCTCATTCTGATTTGTGCTACTATTTTACATTTTTAAAGGTAATTTTTCCATAATAATATAGGTAATAAAATGCAGATTAATTTATTAAGTATAGAATAAATCTATTTTTAGATTTATATCCCTAGTCATAGATTTCAAACATTGTTCCATAATTTTACATTTATATCCCAGGGTGTTTTTTTATAGTAGTTTTTAAAAAAGCATATATGTACACACACACAACAATGGGGTTCACTTAACCCTTCCTTATGCTGTGCCACACTGACTTGGAAGAACATTACTTATGGAGTGGGTTGGCTCCATACTCTATGTGACTAAAATTCTGTGTTTGAATACATGAGTTCTGGGACAGAGGTAATCGGAAAACTACAAACTACTTTTGTATAGTAACCAGTGTACTCAGTGGGAGACATGGCCAACTAATCAAAGCCACTAAACTTTTCAAATTCCTAGACATTTAATAAACTCACATTCTGATAAGCAAAAATGTGACAATGCTGATTTTACAGTTTATATAATAATGCTTTTAGTCACATCACAAAACATCCAAGTCCAAACTTCAGTCTTAGTTTTATTATTATTATTCTCTGTTTATACAAAAACTAATCCTAGAGTATTTGTTCCCTGTAGAATATTTTTATGTGTATGAAACAAATTCAAATTTATACTAGCATAAATCAGAACAAAAGTCTAGCCCAAACTCCACACAATTGAGACAAGAAGGCAATAAGCACTGTAGGAAGTTTCAACTAATGATAACCTCATATGTCCTTTTTACCTTAAATTATGAACTCCAGAAAATACTTATTATTGATTCATACTCATCTATTGTCTTCTAAGATAGATGAGTTCATAAACACTTTTTGACATGGAAGAAAAATTCCAAGACTTTACAAATGCATGACTTATGAGAATTTGCCGTATTTGCCATCTTCAGAATCATCCATGTAATGTGGCTTTGTCTCAGGTAACAAATGGTTGAATTATCTATATTTTCTTAATACCAGTCTCTTGCATGTACACAAATAATATCTTAAATTATTTTTTACTTTAGGAAAACTCAAATGAGTTATTTCTCTAGTTTAATACTTAAGAAAAAAAAAAAAAAAAAAAAAAATGGGACTACAACCAGATCTGGGAATCTTGTGCCTGCTCTTTCATTCACTTGTTTTAAGGCAAGTTTCTCTAATTTTTTTTCCTTTGTTCTTCCAGCTTCAAAATGGGAACAATCTCTACTTAAATATGTTACAAGGCATTGTGAGGACTGGCTAAAACTTCCAAAGCTGTATGTTAAAGAAACATGCTATTTCATTAGAGGTTTAAGTTAATTTATCTGCAAACTAGTAACTCAAAATTTGAAACCATAATGTGTCATTTAGACAGAGATTATTCCTGTTATACAGAATGCTTTATACTGAGCTTATATCTAACTTTAAAAATGAATATGGCAATAGTCCCATGCATCATAAATAGCCCCCAGAACGGTGCCCCTGCCTTAACACTCCATGAGCTGGTGAAGTACCAACAGAGGTTGCTGCTTATCTGTATGGCATTTTGTTCACGTACATATGTCACAAGCTGAGCGGCATCGAGAGCCTCCCCTGGCAGAAGCAGCTCAGTCTCGGGCATAATTCAGTGTGCTGTGCTTGCCACCTGCTGGATGCACCCACAAAGTTGTTTTTCATCTCAAAAGTCGTTACAGGGAGAGACAGCAGTATATCCCTGCCTCCTGATGGATCTGGAGAGCCTTACCTGTGGAGAAACTGGTAGAAATGAAATAGAACCTCGGCCATCAGGAGGCAGTTAACTTCCTTGACAGGGGGCAAGCAAGCATTTCTTCATCATCTGCTGATCCCTTTGGTCACTGAAATCCAGTATCCGCAGTGACCATGATTAGTAGCTCATTTGCAAAACACTGATTGCATTACTACAAGAGCCAACCCAAGGAGAAAAAACATGCACATGTATAAAAATAAAAATCCAAGAGTATTTTCACAAATGATAACTAAGTATTTAGCTGAAAGGACTCATTTATCACCAAGAAAAAAAGCAGCAGAATCAGTAACGACCATGAATGATAAAAATTACTATTACAGTTGCAAACAGAAGAGAAGCCATTGGTTAGTGATTTTGATAATTTCATGTCAGATCCTGCATATTTAAGAGCCTGAGTGTCCCAGGCTGCTGGTGCCACCTGTGCCTACCTGCGTCATGGGAAAAAGGATTTGGCTGGGTTGCTGCAGGAAAGGCAGGAAAGGATTGCAGCTGCTGTCTTGTTTGAAGGCAAGAGTGACACTGAATTGATAGGCAGAGAAAGTGGAGGGCAAAGCTTCCATTAAATAATGCTGGGAAATGTTTGTTCTACTAAGGGGTAGGAAAAAAAGAAGAAAAAAAAAAAAGGGGGG